CGGGCGGCGGCGAGGCGCGGCTGCGGGACCCGAGCGGGGCCTTCTCGGTGCGCGGCCTGGAGCGGGTGCCGCGCGGGCGGCCCTGTCTCGCCCCAGGTAATGCCGCGGCCTCGCAGGGCGCCCTTCTTTCCTCCTGTCCGCCGGGAAGTTGCCGAGGCCAGATTCGGACCCGGCCTTGACACTCTTGGTATCGCCCTGGCGGGGTCGTGAATGTCCCACCCCCGGACCTTTGCTCTGGCCGGTCCCCCGCTAGATACCCTTCCTCCCGTCCCAACTCCAGTCTCCCAAACAGTTGTGAAGATAAACATCACCTGCAACCAGCTTTAAAAAATACAGGTTGCTGAGACTCCCCCAGCCCTCCTAGTTGGAATCTCCCGGGGAGTGACCCGTGGCATGTGTCACAAGCCCTCTCACAAGTGTGCCTTCCTCGGGGAAGCCCTACTGTACTTCTCCTTTGTGGACCTGTTGTCTTAGGCTGTAGTTGACTAATGTCTGCCTCTCTTAAACCACTGGTGCTCATACTTGAGAGTGCATCAGACTCACCTGGAGAGCTTGTTAAAGGTCAGATTGCTGGGCTCAACCTCAGGGTTTCTGAGTCACAAGGTCGAGGTGGGGCTGAGAATTTGCATTTCTAACCAGCGCCCAGGTGCTGCTGGTGCTGCTGGTCTGGGGCCTCACTTTGTGAACATCCTGCTGGGGCAGACTCTGAGCTATAGGAGGGTGGGGTCTGTGTGGTTCTAACTGTATCCTCAGCATCTAGCCCAGTGCCTGACACATAGTTGCTCCAAGAACTAGTTGTTTTGAGTGACAGGAATTGGGCACCCAAGATCTCATCTCACTCATTCCCTGGGATGTTAACTGAGCATGTGCTATACACCAGGCCCCATGTGAGGTTCTGGGCTGCAGCCGAGATTTCAGTAGACAAGACCCACCAGGGGTATAGACAGCGTGCTACAGGGGTGGCCCAGGGAGGCTTCTGGAGGATGTGAGGTCTAAGTTGAGAAGGTCAGTGGGTCTTCCATCTCCTCGCCTCCCTCCCCTTGTGAAATCAGGCCAAGGTCACTTCATCCCTAAGGGCTCTTCCTGGTCAGAGAATCTTGGATTCTAACTAGAGGCAGGATAGTTTGGTGGTCTGGCCTGGGCTGCTTTGGATTCAGACTTGTTGAATTCCTGACTTCACCCCTTCCCTGCTGAGCTGCCTGGAGCACTTTTCTTAACTTTTCTTGCCTTGTACTGTATATTAGTCCATTTCGTGTTGCTATAACAGAATACCTGAGATTGGGTGATTTATAAAGAAAAACGAAATTTATTGCTTATAGTATCTGAGGCTGGGAAGTCTGAAGTCCATCTGGTGGTGGTGACAGTGACCCAGGGGTCTCACATTGCAACTTAGTAGAAGCAGAGAGAGCAGAGAGAAAGACTCTCCTCTTCTTTTAAAGTCCTCAGAACCACACCCCTAACCACCATTTTTAATCCATTCACTACTGCACGGTCCTACAATCCAATCACCTCTTCAAGGCCCCACCCTTCAATTACCATAATAGGATTTCCACCCTCTTAACAGTCACAGTTGGGCTAAGTTTCTAATACATAGAACTTGGGGGACACAATTCAAGCTTCAATGAGTTTTGGGGGACATAATTTAATCCACTACATACTCCGTCTGTAAAAAGGGGCTAATATTTCCTGCCTGTTGTATGGATTAAGTGAGTGAATAATGGCCTGGCTTGTAGTGAGAGTTCAAAACATTGTGACTCTTGTTATTTACTGTAACATGATCCTGTTCCCTTCCCACCCCACCTACCCCTTGCCCTGTTCTTCAGCCTCTTCTCTCTTTCTGCCCTTGGCTCCAGCTTTAGTCTAGCACAGGATTGGCAGACTACAGGCTCCTGCCTCTTTTCACGTGGCCTGCGAACTACAATGGTTTTTACATTCATGAGTGATTGAAAAAAATCATGACATGTAAAAAGTATATGAAATTCAAATGTTAGTGTCTATATGTAGTTTTATTGGAACATAGTCATAATTTACATAAACAACTGGGGCTGCTGTCCCCTATATCCACAGGGTTGAGTAGTTGCAACAGAGACCCTATGACCCACAAAGTCTAAATATTTACTTCTGGCCTTTTACAGAAAAAGTTTGCCGACCCTTAGCCCATGCTGCTTGATGTCTTGGTCTCCAGGCAAAGCCCCTTAAGGGCAGGTGTGGGCAGTCTCCCAAGTTTGGTCCCAGCCCTAGCATAAGCCTGGCACCTGTCTGACTTACCCACTGGTTTGAATGCCTACCGGCAGGGGCCATGTCATTTCCTCTTACGAATTAATGCTAATTCTAGCTTGTCAAAACTCAGTCACTGACTTCAGATAGGGAGCCAGGGAAGTAAGCAATCAAATAAAATACAAATATTGTAGGCATGAGCAGAGGGTGCCATGGCACAGAGAAGGGACATTCTTTTTTTTTTTTTTTTTTAGTGGCTGGCCAGTACAGGGATCAAACCCTAGACTTGGTGTTATCAGCATTATCAGCATCACGCTCTAACCACTGAACTAATCAGCCAGCCCTTTTTTTTTTTTTTTTAAATGGGGGTGCTCCTTGTACCTGCCTTGTACAGTTGTGAGAATTGCAGGGTTGATGTTTGTGACGTGCTTAGAAAAGTCCCTGCACCATGAAAGTGCCCAGTGAATTAGCTGTTGCTGGGAGATTGTCCTGCTCCATGGAGCAGTATGTGCAAAGCCTTGGAGGTGGGAGAGCCCAGTGCCTTTGGGGAGGGTCCCATCCTGACGGCCTCAGCCGCAGTCTGTGGAAGGACATGCCTGCTGTAGGTGGCCTTGAGCCGTACTCCCCGCATCGGTGCAGTTCCTCTGTTGCTTGCTTCTCTGGAACATCCAGCAGTTTGTTTCCATGAACCTCACATGCTGCAGATGCAGTTGCGTCAGAACCTCTCCCTGTCCCCCAGTTGCTCCCAGTCTACAGGGGGAAATGAGAAATGATCACCTAGACTGCACTGGGACCAGCGAGGTTCTGGAGGCAGGAGCTGCGTTTGAGAACGATGACTGCAGCCGCATGACAGCAGGGGTGGCTACAAAGACAAAGAAGCTGAAGATCACCAGCTGGAGCCATTGACGTGGTCAAGGCTTGACCAAAGGGAGGGGTTGTGGGGGGAAGGACAAGGGGAGACAGCGTGGAGAGCTGCTTTCTGCAGGGAGAAGGTGTGGGTAGCATGAANGGAAGGACATGCCTGCTGTAGGTGGCCTTGAGCCGTACTCCCCGCATCGGTGCAGTTCCTCTGTTGCTTGCTTCTCTGGAACATCCAGCAGTTTGTTTCCATGAACCTCACATGCTGCAGATGCAGTTGCGTCAGAACCTCTCCCTGTCCCCAAGTTGCTCCCAGTCTACAGGGGGAAATGAGAAATGATCACCTAGACTGCACTGGGACCAGCGAGGTTCTAGAGGCAGGAGCTGCGTTTGAGAACGATGACTGCAGCCGCATGACAGCAGGGGTGGCTACAAAGACAAAGAAGCTGAAGATCACCAGCTGGAGCCATTGACGTGGTCAAGGCTTGACCAAAGGGAGGGGTTGTGGGGGGAAGGACAAGGGGAGACAGCGTGGAGAGCTGCTTTCTGCAGGGAGAAGGTGTGGGTAGCATGAACAGGACTAGTCACCAGTGTGGCTCATCTCATGCCCTTGAGCTCATCCGTTAGTTGTGGATGCCGTCCCAGTAGATCTCCTGTTCACCTTTCCTGGTTGGGATCTCCCTGGGTCTGTTCTTCCTTTCCCAGGTCTTCAGTCCCTCTGCTCCCGAGGGTTCCATGTCTACCAGCACTTTAGGGCCATTCAGAAGGTATGGCAAGTGCATTTTTAGAACAAGCCTCGGTCACTGAGGGACCCAGGTAGACCTGGAGATGGGTTCAGAGAATCCTAAGTACATCCTGCCAGGGGTTGAATACCAGAAGGTCAGACACAGCTTGCCGGCTTCCTTCGGTCAAAGCCCTGACATTGGAAGCAGTGCAATTAAAGCAGCCTGGCAGGGGCATGCAGTGGGGGCTGGCAGTGTGCCTGTGCTTCCTGCTGTGTTTGGGTTTTTTTTTTTTTACACAGTGAAGTTTTGTGTGGTTAAGACTGGCCAAGTTTTGCTTTGAAGGAGAGTCACTTCCTCAAGGGAATGGGAAGAGAGTCATGGTTAATATGTCATTTTAGATCATCTTGATGGCAGCCTGCCCTTTCGTTGATTTGCTTGTGTGTGCCCAGCAGTGGTCGGGATAAAGCTGGGAGGTGGTAGGAAATGGTCCCGGTGGTTGGAACCATGGGGCAGCATGAGGCAGTGGGGGTGCTGCTGCTGCCTGTCCAGCTGTTTTAGCAACATCGAGTGAAAATTGGATTTGCTTTGGGGCTGTCAGGGAGTGTCTTTACGGAAAGAGGACCTGTCCTGTGCACAGAGACCAGTCACATTCTCTGGCATGGAGCAATGAATAAAGATTAGAGAAAAGCTTAGGTTTTCTGCCCCTGCCTTAGAACAATCTGTCTCGTTTTAACTCATACCCTGATGTGCATTTCTTCCATTCTTTGGGCATGACTACATTGTGCATGATGATTTTGTTGAATATATTAAAACCAGAAATCAGAGAAGATAAAGATGTCATCATCCTTCAGGTTAAATGTTGAACTAGTTGGGGCTGGCAGATCAGCTCACTTGGTTAGAGTGTTGCGCTTGATCACACCAAGGTCAAGGTTCAATCCCTGTACAAGCCAGCCACCAAAAACATAAATTGTTGCAATATGTATATATTCTGGTCCCTGAGTGCCTTGCATTTTAATATTTACAATCTGAATGTTTTTCTTTCTTCAATTTCCCTCTCTCTGATAAGTTAAACTCTGGGAAGGACCGGGTCTCTGCTCTCCACCCCTCGCACTTTTTAACATGAGCATCATGACCATGAACATCATGACCATGAACATTACAACAGGCTTTTCTTTCTTTTCTAGGGACATATGTGATGGTAATGGGAGTGGTTCAGGCCTGCAGCCCTGAGCCCTGCCTACAGGCTGTGAAGATGACAGATCTTTCTGATAATCCCATCCATGAAAGCATGTGGGAGCTGGAAGTAGAAGACTTACACAGGAATATTCCCTAGATAATGTCAGAACCGTCCTTTAAAACAACTGAAATTCTGAAACAATTTAGGTTCTTATAACCATGTGGATTTCATGGACATCGTTCAATGCATTCTCAAAAGTTCCTCAGAGAGCTTCGCTATGGTTGACCAAGGAGTCTGGATGTAGGAATTTTTAAATGCTGGGATCCTTCAGTTAACACATCCTCCACCACCCCTTGCTTTGACTGTGTTTGCTGATGAAAAGCAGATGCTGTGTTCTTTTTTCCTTTTTGGTTTGTGTGTGTTAATTCTGTCTCTCTCTAAAGCACACAGAAATCTCATGTTGCATTTTCCGAATTTTACGAGCAATGATACTTTTTCCATTACTGCCCTGTTTTACGATGCAAAATTCGAATCTCAGTCATTGCCCAGGGTGATTTAAGTGTCGTCATGGGCAGGAAAACAGACTGCGTAAAAAAGGAATGACATCACAGCTCCACATCGTCTTTATAAACTTCCTTATCCAGCTTGTAATCAAACGGCATTTTCTGACGGCAGGCACAAGTGGCCCCTCAAAGATTCAGCTTTCTTCCTGCTTTGGACACCACTCAAACATTTAAGGTCCATTTTCCTTAGATATGAAAGATACTACCTTCTTAGTAGACAATGTCTCCTTCACTCAGAGACATTGAGACATTTTCAGAATACCTTGTTGAAATTTAAAAATTAAGATTGGGAACGACTTTCAGGCATTCACTAAACTTCTGCTTCATAACTTTTGGCGAGACACTGCAAGGGAGCAGCCTCCTGGATTAGAGTTCTTATGTGTTTCTGTATGGAATGATTTTTTGTTGTAATTGTATTGAACGTTGGGTTTCTGCTCTGCTTATTACCCATGCCTGGTTTTTCTTTAGATTGTAAGTATTGAGGAGGTCAGATTATGTTCTGACATTGCTGGAGAGTTTTGCCTGGATTATTGATATTCTGCCAGTAATAAATTTTCTTTATGTGCTGTATTACTATTTTTTTTTAGTAGACTTTATTTTTTAGAGCAGTTTTAGGTTTATGGAAGAGTTGAGCAGAAAATACAGTGTCCATATACTCCACACTCAAATCCCACCCTCCCAGTTTCCCCGGTTATTAATATCTTTTATAAGTGTGATACATTTGCTATAACTGATGAGCCAACATTGATGCACTCATTAACTAAAGTCCATAGTTTACATTAGAGGTCACGCTTCTTTGTGATGTACATTTCATGGGTTTTACCCAATGCATAACAACATGCATCCACCATTACAGTATCGTACAGAATAGTTTCACTGCCCTCAAATTCTTCCGTGGTCCCCTTATTCATTCCTCCAGCCCCCCTAACTCCTGGCAATCACTGATCTTTTTACTGGCTCCATAATTTTGCCTTTTCCAGGCTATCGTACATTATGTAGTTTTTTCAGGCTGGATTCTTTCACATACTGTGCGTTTAAGGTTCCTCTGTGTCTTTTTTGCAGCTTAATAGCTTTTTTTTTATTGCTGAATAATGTTCCATTGTATGGATGTACCATAGTGTGTTTATCCAGTTCACTCATTGAAGGACATCTTGTTTGATTCCAATCTTTGACAAGTATGAATAGAGCTGCTGTAAATGTCCACGTACAGGTTTTGTGTAGACATAGTTTTCAGCTCATTGGAGTAAATGCCTAGGAGCGCCATTGCTGGAGCATATGATAGGCCTATGGTGAGCCTCGTAAGAAACTGCCAGGCTGTCTTCCAAAGAGGCTGCATCATTTGCGTTCCCACCAGCAGTGCATGCGGGCTTCTGTTGCTCTACGTCCTCGCCAGCATTTAGGGTTGTCGTCAGTGTTTTGGATTTGCTGTGTTTTAAAACTAGCGTTTTCTTTTAAAGGTGAGGCAAATTGGAAAGTGTGCATTGTTTTTATTATTGATCTGGGTTTGTTGTCTGGATGAAGCTTGTTTCAAGCTGGTTTATGTTCACAGTGTGGGGTTTTTCGGGCAATATTGCTGAGCTTTAGTGGGACTTTGCAGCCCTGTAGACCTGAATTTGAGCCCTTCATCTGTTGCTAAACTTGCTGTGTGACTATGAGCAAGTTATGTAACCTCTGTTCTTCAGTTTCCTTATCTACATAATGCAGATCATACCCAGCTAGTAGCACTGGTGTGAGAAATGAATGAAGATGTGTGTAAATCACTTTTACATAGTGCCGGGCACACGGTAGGCATCCAGTCATTGTTGCTGGGAGGAGAAATGTAAGTTCTTGCTTTCATCCATCACTAAAAGCCACACACACAGGCTGGCCCATTAGCTCAGTTGGTTAGAGCGTGGTACTGATAACACCATGGTCAAGGGTTTGATCCCTATACTGGCCAGCCACCAAAAAATAAATACACATGCACATATGTGCACACACTTTTTTTAAAGAAATTTTTAAATTTACTGAACAATTGCAAAGGCAGTACAAAAAGTTCCCATATACCTGCACATAGCTTCCCTTATTATTAACATCTTAGGAATGGAGCTTTTGTTACAATTAATGAACCAATATTTATTTATTTATTTTTATTTATTTATTTATTTTTCCCTTTTTGTCTTTTTTCATGTCCGGCAACGGATCGCAACCCTCAGTGTTGCGCCCGTACAGGACCGGGACCGGCAACGGGATCGCAACCCTCGGCGCTGCGCCCTCACCTCGCTCAGCCAGTGAGCGGGAACCGGTCTGTATGTGGGATCCGAACCCTAGGCGGGAGCGCCGCCACGCTCCCAAGCAGCGCACTGTAGCAGTGCGCCACCAGGCCGGCCCAATGAACCAATATTTAGATGTTGTTATTAACCCAAATCTATGCTTTATTTCTTTAGTTTTTTCCTGATACCCTTTTCTGTTCCAGGGTCCCATCCAGGACCTCAGAGACCATTTAGTTATGATGTCTCCTTAGGCTCTCTCCCTGGCTGGGATCATTGACCAGTTGCTTTTGATTGCAATGAAATTTAATTGTGGTGCAGATCATAGGATCTCTGTGATACAATTCTTAGGTTAAAACTTTGTCACGAAATTACTTTGGAGTACCCAAAAGTAGCCCTTGAGCTGGGTGTGTCGTAGACTCAAGACCTCAGTCTGAAGTCTGCCCTACTGTGGTTCTGCCTTATCTGAAACCTGCTTTTCTGCTAGAAATCTGACCCGTGCTGCCGAGAACCTCCTGTATCATATCCTGCCCAGTTTGTCCTCACCTAACTTCTGGTAAATAATGCCCAGTTGAAAAATGCTGGTTGGGCTGACATTGTTGCTTGGCCAGTAAACCATCTCAGGAGTGTGGGGTGGGGGGCGGAGAAGGAGGATGCTGTGTGTTTTTTCTGACAGTCCCTGCAAACTAGCCATGGCTCCTTGCTGGAAGTGTACTGCTTCAGCATGTTAGCCACACTGTGTGGTTTCTCTGAATATTAATAACTCTCACTGTTTCGGCTAGTGTTTCCTCCTGACATCACCGAATGAAAACACATCTCAGAGGTTTTAGTTTTCTGGTACCAAATCAAAGTTGGTTTATCAGCAATCACACACGCCACCCCCCACCCCCACCCCCCCACTCCCCCTCCAGACAGTGGCAGGGTTG